CCACTGTTTGTATTTGAGCTATAATTAGCTTTCTTGACCAGCAGTCAGCACTGATGCTATGTTGTTCTGTGGGAGATGTTTTTCCTGTATCCCAAGGTTCTGAAGGAGTGGTCAGGTGTGATTGTCAAGCCACTATCCATTATATTTGAAAAGTTATGGCTGCCAGGCAAAGGGACTGGAAAAAGGGAAACATCAGTCCCATTATTAAGAAAGGTAGAAAGGAAGACCCAAAGTGGTGGAGCCTCACGTGTGCCTGAGAAGATCAGTATTAACATACACAAAAGACAAGGAGGTGACACAACACAGTACAACTTCATCAGGGGCAAATCATGCCCAACCAATCTGGTGGTCTTCTACATTGGAGTGACAACATCAGTGGACAAAGGATGAACAACTGGTGACATCTACCTGGACTTGGGCAAGGCCTTTGACATAGTCCCCCAGCACATCCTTGTCCCTAAATAGGATATGGATTTGAAGCCTGGACTAATCCATGGATAAATAATTGTTTGGATGGACATGGGCAGAAGAACGTGATCAGTGGCTCTGTGAGCAAGCAGAGGTGAATGGCAGGTGGAGTCCCCCAGGAGTCCACCTTAGGACCAGTACTCTTTTTAGTACAAAAATCATTCGAGGGCTGAAACTTGTATTTGAGAGAATGACTGTAAGAGAAATAGGTAAAAAAATGTTGAGCTTTACTGTGTGGTAACGTTTTTATATATGTGAGGGTTGCTCTGAAAGTAATGCCTTCTATTTTATTATGTTAGCTCACTCCATCAGAGGTTGATTTTGGTGGCATAGCAATAGAGGTTGAACCTTCCCACCAATATTCCATTACATTTGTTTGCTGTGTGACAAATGGCAGTGGAAGGGCAGTCTGACAAAAAGGGCATCTGACATGGAAGTGCGTAGGAAGTAAAAGAATGGTACTGAATTCCTTCTTCAGAAAAAAATGGCATCCATTTTTTATAGACACCAAACAGTGGATGTGAGCTCAGTTAGGTAGTGGGTAATGCATTTCAGCAGTGGAGACGGTGACAGTGGGTCACCTCCATTGGTGCAGATTTTCATGAGTGCAGCATGCAGGCTCTTTTGTCCATTGCTGGCAAAAATGCATATCTAATGGTGGCGGCTATATTGAAAGTCTGGTCTAGTGTCATTGTGCTCTTTGTCCCTGTTATAGTTTCCATGGAAATAAATTGGAAGCATTCATTTTGAACCAACTGCATATTAAAAGAAATAGAAGAATATAAAAATTATCAAGCCATGCAACTTCTGCATAGCCTTAGAGTTACGAGATTTCCTCCATGTGAAAAAAATTGCACCCATTGACATTTGTTCGACAATTGCTGAAAGTGTATGGAGACCAAACAGGTGGATGTGAGGACAGGAAAGTGTTGGGTGATGCTTCTCTGCAGTTGAAATGTGGTGTGAAAGAAAAGCCATGTTTCAGATGACCACAAACAGTTGTCACACTACAAAATGAAGAGCATCTCGATTAGCTCATCTGCAAAAATCAGTGGATTACTATCAGGGAACTGTGTATACAGCTGAATATTGGTTTTAGTGCAATAGGAACAATTGTGACAACATTGGAATATAGAAAAGTTTGTGCTGGCTGGGTCCCACAGGAACAGAAGGAACACCTCATGCAAGTTTGTCAGGTCCTACTGAAACAATATGAGGCAGAAGGTGACATTTTCCTGGATTGTATCATTTCCAGTGACGAGACATAGTGCCTCCACTAGGAGCTGAAGTTAAAACGGCAGTTCATGGAGCGATGAAATGTGAATTCCCCATCTATGAAAAAGTTCAAGATGCAGCCTGGATTTGGCTCCTTCTAACTTTCTTCTGTTCAAGCTGATGAAAGATGGACTGTGTGGGTGATATTTTTCTAGTGATAAAACAGTGGATCGCCTCCACTGGTGCAGATATTTATGAGTGCAGTATGCAGACTTTTGTTCATCACTGGTGAAAATGAATTGCTAATGGTGGTGACTGTGTTTAAAAAGTATTTTGTAGCTGAGAATTTGCTCTATCAAATAGCATTATTGAATTCTTTGAAACTGTTGTTTTTCAGAGAAATCTATGTATATATTTATTTATATACATATTTATATACAATGTAAAAGGAACATCACGATGCAAGTTTACTTGTATGATTTTTTTTTTTTAATGAGAAAGTAATTCTGTATTCAAAACAGCAGTTAATAGCGACTCTTGCATATTTAGAAATGGCCTTCCCACTCAACATTCTTGAAAACAACTTAGAGTAAATTTCTATCCTGAACTCCAGCCCTAGTTTATCACTTTTTACTCCCATCAACTCACTTATTTTGGAAGTCTGTAATCTTTTCTCATGTTTCCTGTTGGAGAAGCTGCTTGTGACTTCTTGCTTGTCCTCGTCTGTGTATCAGCTGTCATGAAGTCAGGCAGCTTATTTTTGTTGTCCTGTGTCCCTCTTATTTTCAGACAGGACATTTCCTCTCATCTCTCTCAGGGTATTTAGGTCTTCATCTGTCAAGGTTCCAAAAGACATGTAAGTGCTTTAAAAGCTTCATCTCAAATGAGTAAAGTAAAATGTCTGTTTTTTAAAAATGTCAGCTCCTCAGTTTCTACAACAGTGAATTTGAAAGGATTACTACTTGCTGCAACAGTAATTATTTGCACTGATATACTCAAAAAGCAAAACAGAGCCTGGTTGCTCTCTCTGAAATAATTAAGTTATGGCAAAACAATCTTTCTGCAGCAAAAACTGTGGAAGGGAGGTTCTCTAACTCAGATCTGACTAATTAAGCAAAATAAATAAATAAATAAATAAATCATAGTACTAGAATAAATGAATCCCTAAATTCAGTAAACAAAAGACTTTCAGTAGAGTGGGAGGACTTGAACTTAATGCTTCTGAATTTAATATGGGTGAGATCACCATTTTTCTAGTTTTTCTATCTTTTGGAGAAGAGCTGTAAAACTTTGTATCAACTAAAACATTGTTTGGAAAGAAACACAAAAGGTATCAGTCGACACAGTTAGCCCAAGGTTAAGAAATGATTCAGACAAGAGCTGTAATTAGTTGTGCAGAACATGCCTAGCATTTAGGAGAGCCTTTAATCTACCAGATGGGCATTAAAAGCTCGAAGAATTGGAAACTCAAGTTGGTGGTGTTTAATCTGAAAAGAAAATGTTCTCTCTGAATACAGAAAGTAGTCAAATCCTACAGTAGATTATTAAGAAATTCTGAGAAATACTGAGCATCAGCTTTTAACTTAGAATTTGATATTTTTTCTTGGAGATTGGCTTCTTTTTCAGTCTCAAACTTATTGATGTATATAGCAAGAACCATCTAGTGACATTGTTCTGGCTGCATTAAAAGAGGGTCATACATATGGTCAGCAAAGGCAGGAAGGAAAGGAGAAGGAAGAAGGGAAGGTAGAAATAAATAAAACCACAAAAACATATCCGGAAGGACATATTCAAATAAAATTAAAAGAAAAATGTTTTCCTTATTTCTTTTTCCTTTCGCTTGAGAAGTACATTTACAATTCAAGTTAATACACTGTATTTACTGCATTACTGTAGTCACTATGACCAACTGTTAGCCTTATATGTTAAAGGTAAAAATATTTCTGCTTTAGTTTTCTCAGCTATTCATACTAATATGCTGTAGTTCCATAAAGGATGAAAAAAAGAGATTATTAGATTTCTGGATTCTTACAATGAAAATAAATTTATGAGAACAAAGCATTAAAAAATGGTAACTGAATTAAAAACAAAACAAAATGACCACACACCACCACCACAAAACCAACAAAAAAGACCTATGAAATAACTGCACCAAATTATTGCCTGTTATGTGTGTATGGCTACCCTGGTGAAAAGGCATTTTGGATCTACAAGAGTATGTTACTGTATGTTAGGACTACACAAAATTGTATTAATTTGGTTCTCATTCATACATGTGAATTTTAAAGTACTGAATACAGAAAAAAAAAGTGTTTAAATATTACATAACTCATTTTATTCATTCAGTCCTATGCAATTGCTTTTTTTCAAATATCTCTCAGATTTATTTCCTAGCTGCAAACTTGATTTTTGTCTTTTGTGTTAATTGTGTAAATGAATATTTTACTATATTTAGCTGGGACCTTCAGTAGGATCTTTAAGCTCTCTAATCTATTTGCCTTCCTACAGTCTTATCTGAGGACAAATCTTAATTGACATGCTTTACAAAGGACTTGACAAAGCAGTAGCTAAACCGCAGTCCAAAGGTTGCCTTGGACTTAATTCTCACAGTATTCCAGTCTGCAGCCAAAAGAGACTATAGAGTACCTCGCAAAAGCAAGGGTAACAGGTGCTAAGTGTCTTAGCTAAGTTGAAAGCAATGAGCTCTTCTGCTAATAAGTATCTGGTAGCTTAATTGGTAAGTAAATGAATAAAAGATGTGTTTATTACTGTGTAATTGGCTTGTTTGTTTTCCCTGCTCTGACTGAAGTATCTTGCAGAGGGGAAGGGGAACATTTTTTAAATTCATTTTTGTCCCTCCTTTGGCTGAAGTTACCTGTTTTCAGGAATCAGACTTGCAATCTGCATATTTACTCTGAATGGAGAACAAAAGTACAGAAAACTTTTGAAAATGTATTGCAATAGTGTTTCTCTACATTGTTTGAAGTAGCCAACTATGTACCTAAGTGCAAATGTGGTTGTTCCAGGGTTATAGTCACACCAGGAAATAAACAGGAAAAATGGGAAGAGGAGCACCCTCAATTTTTATTTATTTATTTTTCCAAACGATGGTTTTGTAACAGAGCACTTCCTCCCCTTCTAATAAATAACACTTGTTGCTTGTCCTATGCTTATAACACATGACAGAGTGTCGCTGTCAAGCCTTGCTGTAATACCCAGCCAGTTGCCTCCAGCTAGTCGACGAAGCAGAGTAGTTTGCAAATGAAGGCATTTGTCTGAATGACATATTTCTGAATGAGAATTACTTTCCTTTGCAGAGAGTTTGGCCGCTGGAAAGTAAACAATCTTGCTGTTGAAAGACGCAATTTTCTTGGCTCCCCACTGCCACTTGCCCCTGAGTTCTTCCGTAACATAAGGCTACTAGGACGTCGCCCAACGCTTCAGCAGATCACAGAGAACCTGATCAAGAAATATGGGACACATTTCCTACTCTCAGCTACCTTGGGAGGTAGGGTTAACTCTTGACAATATGGTGCATGTTTTCAACTTAACTGAACTGAAAGTGTTGGCCAACTGAGCTCCTTGTAAAACTGTGGTACTCTCTTTCTCAGCAGTTAAGCTGAGCTGCTGCCCTGGGATAGATTTTACAGTACATGAGTAAGTTTTTTCTTCAAGCCTTATGGGTCCTTTTTTTCTGCTGATGCTAAACTTTGTTTTATTGATTCTGTGTAAACAGTTTCAGGGACAATAAGATAAGAATGCCCGTAGCTAAGGCTGAGATACTTTACCTGAGATCCTCGTGTACATGATCCTGGCCTTCTGGGGACACTGCTCTGCACTGAGAAGTCACAAATGAGAGCATATTTTTCTATAAGAGTTCCCAACAATAATTTGACAGATAACAAATTACAGCAGTGCCTGGCTGCATCACAGTACTCCAGAGATGAATTAACAAACCCAACAAACAGATTAATCTGGAAAGCCTGGTGTGTAATTGGGATCCAGTAACAAAATGGATTGAAGAAATCCAGTGAAGAGGCATAATGTTCAAAAGAGAATGTAAATTGTTCTGAATGAAAGATAATTAGTGCCTGAGATGACCCATCTAGGCATCGCAAAATGAACTGACATTTTAGAAATGCAGCTTTATCCCTTGGTGGCTGATTATATTAAAGATAATTCTAGTGACTGAGTATCCTTCCAGCAGGACAGTCTTGTCAAAATCCTTTATCCACCTGAGGAATTGTCCTCTTTAGCACATTTCATAACAGATATTTAACCATAGATTAAGGAAATGACTGCCTTCCCATTCTCTTTTGGCTGATATCTGTAACAACTGAAATGGCTCAGAGCTTCTCTCTTTTGCAGAAGACCATTCTAGAAGCAAGGTAAAATTCCATCTTACTGTAGATATTAAAATTATAATAATTAATGCATTCCTATCATATTTTCAGAACTAGCATTTCTACAGTAAATCTATCACCATTAGCACTGTAAGAACAAATTACATGTGCTGACCATGAATTTGAGATAAAATTCCCAGCCTTTCTTTTAAATACTCAATGTGTTTATTTCATTCAAGGATCCTTTTAAAAAACAGGCATCTATTTTATTGTGCATATGGCAAACCTGAACAGCAAAATTAACTGCAGAATAGAAAGAAAATGTTGCTCAAAACATTTAAGCACAATAAATAAAGATTTGGCTGCAGCGGGTATCTTAATGAAAAGATTATCTTTTCTTTAACTGTTATCTTTAACTGTTAAAGGTTAGTTATTATTATTGGCTATTTGACAATTATTAACATAATTTTTTATACTAACTGCTATATCATCAAATTCACTTTGAAGTTGAGATTGGATCTAACAATTAAAGAAAAACAGTCTAACCCAAGTATAACTGCTCTTTCACAAGTACAAACCAGCACACGCTGATCACAAAAGAGCTACAGACTGAATGCCTTTCGTAAAGCATAGCCCTAAGTAAAAACTAAAACCTGAAGACAGTTCTTCTAAAGACACTCAGCAATTCCAGCTTTAAACTGAATTAGGTATAGTGCCCAAAGCCTTAAGATCTCCTGCAGAGAAATTGGGGTAGAGTATCCTTTTCTTGCCCCTCTTGATACCACTTCACAAAGGCCCTAAAATGCAGTAACTGCCACATACTTGCAAAAATTCACCACTAACAGGTACACTGTGTTGACTTCTGGGCTCTGTCAAAGCTTAATGAAGTCAAAGGGATTTTTTTAATATTAACTTTGATGGGCTTTGATTTAGGTCTCTAGCCTCAATTTTAAGACATAATTTAAGGCACACCTGCTACCTTCCATTATCATTGGATGGGTGGTGAATAATTTGAAAAATTGGCTGATTAAAATAATTATAGGAAATTAGTAATTTCTAAAAATGCTTTCCTATGGTAACTAATAACCCTATACTTTCCTGTAAGTGCTAGTTCTCATTTGGGAGTTAAAATGAATGGGGATTCCCAGAGATGCTTATCTGTGTTTTAACACTTAATTTGATTCTTTTCTTTCTATAATGTATTCATACTTTTTCTTGAATTATGAGTAGTTTTATTCTGAAAGCTTTGTTGCTTATGCAGCTTCTTGAAATCAGAAAGCCAAACTGAGCGTACATACTTTTTTATTTAATAAATCCCCAGTCGTTTGCATGCATGGCCACAAAGGAAAACTTGGCAAATCAGAGATCTTGCTGTAAGATTTGTGTGCCTCTGTGACCGTTTGGCTTTCATGAATATCCCTTTTTGACCATAAAGGGAACTCTTCCACATGGTTGTTTGTGATGCATTCCCTAGTCTTTGTTCACAAACACAGACACACAATTCTCAAGGGCATTCTAAAATGAGGATTTAGAGAAGTTATATTTTTCATGGTTCCATAGATAATGTGGAAAATGACATTTCTCACTGCTTCTATTTCTTATGTAAATTTTATCTGTTTGCGACATAAGGAAAGTTAAATGTCCGTAATGAGCAACTTCAAGTTGCACGATGCAAGGATGCTATGCAATCCAGTGATGCAGAGCAAAAGCCAAGATTCAGCAGTAGATTCATGAATAAATTCTCATGCTTGTGCATAGGAGTAACCATTAGCTGTACACAGAATCAAATTTGTAGAAAGAGATGATTTTCAATTTTGTATATAAATGGGAATATGGTATTGAGGTGGGCCATAGCTAGTAGGTGAGGTAATTTTCCCTGCTCTTCTGGGATGACACATGTCCTGCAAGCTTTAGCAAATCTGCAAATTTACACAATCCAGCAAAAAATATTGGCTGTCCAGAACAGCTTTAGGGGAAAGGTAAGAGAAGACTCTTTTGGACAAAGCCCTGAGTATCTTATCTAATTAGACTTGCTTTGAGCAAAGGATTGAACTCCATGACCACCACCTTCCAGCATAAATAATTTTCTGATTCTGTGAAATGTATTTTTGAATTCTCTGTTAGCTTCCAACTAGCACTTCCAATAATCAAAGATTCTCCTTTGAGTGAGAAACAGCACACAATCTTTTTTTTTTCTCTTTTTTTCTACATTTTTTCTTTTCTCTTTTGCTTGCCTACAGCATGATGCAATAACAGTTGCATGATGATAAAGTCCATAAGATAGAAAAGCATCAGCCACCATAAACCTGAATGGTTTACAACAAACAGGACAGAACAGTGAGCTAAAGAAGTTATTGTGAAGTCTAGGGCACCACTGTGGAATAAGTGCAGGGTAAAAATGTTAGTGGATCCCACTTTAGATGCATTCATTTTAACACTGCCTTGTGTGTGGATGTCAAGGTTGCTTAACAAACTAATTGATTCTGTGATGAGGAAATAAAAGATAACACAGTACATGAAATGTAGTGACACACTACAGTGAAATGATACATCCTTATTCCTGCCATTTGGGGGACTTAAGTCTGATTCTGGTGCTTTGCAAGATGAAGACTGGGTTACCTTGGCATCTGGAAAAATTGTAACTGTTCCCAATAAACAAATTTGCAGTAGGTTGCCAAGGCTTGTTAAGAAATTAGAGCATCAGAAGCCAATTGGCTGAATGGCAAATGGTAATTTCAAATGTTGCAGATTGAGATTTTTTCTCTTATTGTCAGTCATAATTGCTCAAAGTGCTCATTACCAGATCATCAATACATTCACCTGTCTGGGTCAGTCAGAAAAAAAAAAAAAAAAAAAAAAAGTAATTGTTTTCTTTACTGCGGACCATCTTAGCAGACATCAGCAAATCAGTTTAACCCCAACCTCTTGTCATTCTCCTCTGCACTGATTAGAGTTCTGCAAACATGTTTAGTATTCACACCTTTACTATCCTGAGTAAAAAGGACATTGCACTGTGTGCAGAGATGGGAGATATATTCTGGTGATGTAAATTGGTGAATTCTATGAATTCTAAAGAATTTATGATCATTTGCACTAACTGCTGATATGAATTTTGCTTTCTGTGATGCTCAGTGAGGGTAAGGAAGAAATAATTGGCAAATAAAGGAGGGAGAATCCAGTCTTAAATGATTAATGTGAGAAAGAAACTCAAAAATTTAGCATTGGACCTTCAAACCCTCCAAGGGTCAGTAAATTTTTCAGCATTGAATATTATGAAAGTTAAAGGGAAGTTAAAAAAAAAAACAATCTGTTCTCTTTCTTTTCCTTCCCTATGTGCTGAAGTAAGGAAATACTCAAATCCTTTCAGAGAGGATATATATGTGGAATTAGTGTGCACTGTATTCACATCTGGCCTAGCAGTGATTTAGATACTATTTGAAGCTATGCACATTCATCAGCATCTGTTTGACTTAGGGAAAACGACCTGACCGAATCCTCATGGCACGTTGTTGGGTTTTTGTTGTTGTTGTTTTAATAAAATTGCATTATATGTCTTAATTACTATATTGCATTGCAACTATTGCAACTGACATATTATAGGATAAACTATTGTTCAGAAATCTTCTATCTTATTGGCCACGGGTAGGTTATTTGTCTAGGTAAATTTCTGCACACTTTATTTCATTTTCTGAAAAATCAGCATGTAAAAATTTTTTCTCAGCTTGGAAATTTACACCCAAATCCTTCAAAATTTGCTCATATTAACCTAGAAATAAATGAACAGAATATAAAAGCTAAAGTATAAGCTTGTGAATTCTGGGGCTTACGTGGATATTTGTATGTATTTTGCCAAGGTCAGCCTATAGTGTGAATGTCAGTTCCCAGCCCACACATAAATATTTTCATTAGAGACAGGGGCTGAATGGAAGTAAAACAGCTGATTTCTTAAACCAGTCATTAGATTATATCAGATTGTTTTATTAGAATGGCTGAATATCATTGCATTATTTCTTTTAACCCCAGGAAAGTGAACTTAATTGATCCTTGGATTTTGTGAAATAGAATACTGCTTCTAGAGATTACAGAAAGCACAGCTTTATTTTTTAGCTTTATTTTTTAGTCTGGATGTCTTCTTAGCCATTTCCATCATGGTAGCTGATAGACAGAGAAAAAAATACAAGATTCTTCCACATTTATAATGTGACAGGAACATTTCTTTTGTTATGGGTTTAATTTTGCCTAAATTAATGTAAAATTCAAATTCTCTCCTGCTAATCGAATATGAAGCAGTGATGTTCTTTCACAATTTCTCTGTGTGCGAACAGAACCCTGTTACCACTCTGCAGCAATATGGTGGAGCCCAAGTAACAGAATATGGTGGAGTTCTCTGCTTGTTTCACCTATCTTAATCCTTTCCCTAATAAGTGCCAAATCAGCTGAAATACTTCTTGAATCAACCAGGTGCCTTTTGGACATCACATATTTTTGAAATACACCTAATTGCACCCATTATCACTGTAGTGCTTGAGAATATCAGCAATGAATTAGTTTGAGATGCCATCCAAGAACAACGCAGAGAGTTTGGAAGAGAAAGCTTCCTTTGTGTTTGGGAAATGTAATCTGATGTGATCTCTATTTGGTTACAGATCACGGGGAATAGCACATATCTGTTGTTGGGCAGGAACAGGACTACAGGGCTGGGGATAAGCAGAGTGCTGCTGGGAGATCTGCCTGCCAAATCGTGCCCACTGGCAGCTGCTGTGGCAGGCATGGGTCAGTTGTGTGGGACCAGTGAGGACAGTATGACGTGATAGCTGTGAGGGGATTCAAAGGTTATTTTTCTTGACATTTTCTGATCAAAACAAAACAAAGCAGTGCAGAACACTTCATTTTTGAGATACATTTTGGAAATGTGAGGTTTTTCACTGCACTGATCTTTGCCTCCTGGAGAACAAGCATGTTTGATGGGAGAAAAATAAACAAACTCTGTTTTAATAATAATAAAGCCTATCAGTACTCTGTTGAAATATGATCTGGATGGAAACGGTCCCACTATCTCTACTAATAACATAGCATAGATCAATCAAAAGGGCTCTGTGAGTTTGCCAGGGGAAGCAGGGTGGCGTGCCAGCTTATGAAACACAAAGAACCTCTTTTTTCCTTTACTTTCCAGAGATTTCTCACGTTTACCTTACAATTCATTATAAGTTATTTTCAGTGGAAATTTGATTGCAAAAGTCACTTTAATCTAAAGACATTAAATGAGACACCTGGAAAAGGGTGAAAAGTAAATTAGATCCCTTAATGAATTTCTGCAACTTTTCTGCACTGCTGGAACTGATCACTGATTCAGTGCTTACCCCCTGTGAGCTGTGGCATCGTCTGCTCCGATATAGCTATGTCTTCACAGTACCACACACAGCTGCACAGAGCCCGTGGCCCCTGGCTCCACTCTCAGCTCACTCTCAGCTCTTCATTTCAGAAATACTGACTAGCATTGCAGGGTGCGTTTTGAAAAGGCAGGCTTTTTCATAGGCATAACTGAACACCAGCAATTCTGGAACTCTGACCAGATTTTGTGGCACCATCCATGAGATGCTACTGCCCTCCAGCTCTCTGCTCAGTGCCACCAGTGTGGAAGCACCCTGGTGTGCATAATGGCCCACCTGGCCACAAGACCTGCACTACCACTGTGTCAGGATGGTGTGGCAAAACGTAGCACATGAGCCTGTGCTAATACAATATGTGTAAGTTTCTCCTGCCAGGTGATCTCAGCCTGCCTTGCTGGAGGTTTTGATATTAAATTTGAATGCTTGTCTATTAATTACAGCAGAAAGCTTAGGTAGGTGGATGGGGAAACACTGTTATTTATGGAGGCTGCTTTAATTCCTAGTTCTTGGGAGTTCAAACAATTAATTCCCTCTTTGATGGCTGCATGTGCAGAAAAAGAAATTTCCCATTAGGAAACTACAGGGGAGTAAGCATGAGCAGAGTGGCAAAAAACTGATTCAGACTCCATATGGAATGGCCTGGGCAGCAGCTGTCCCTTCCAGGACAAAGTGAACACAGTGGATGAGCCCAGCAGGCCTGGCTAGGTGATAGAATCCTGGATAACCACAGCTTTTGCCTGTATAAGCACTGAAGGTCCTATCTGTCCTCTGACTTTGGGAGGCATTGGGAAACACTGTAAGACCCATTGATTAACATTGAACACACTTCTCTTTCTCCGAACGGAAATGAATTTTGCAAGAAGAGGTAGCTGTGTATAATTAAAACACGTCAGCAGGTGTGTTGTCCTGTGTGGAGGCATGCATTTTTCATCTAGCATTGCTCACCTCCAAGATTACCTCTTTTTAAAGAAGACGTCATGTTTTCATCCTACATATTATCCCTCTACAGCTATATTTGTTGGCACATAAGCCTGCCTGAAATTGGCATCCCTTCCTATGAATTGGGCAAAATGCCACTATGGCAGATGGGTGAGCAATGAAACTAGAACGAGTGGCAAGTCAGAACATATCAGGGCAGTTTCCTTTCCAGGATCAAGGAAACAGCATTCTGTGGAGCTGCTCAGCACCTGAAACACAGGTAGATGACATTATCCCTTGATGCTTGAGCAGATTAACACTGAAGAGTGGTAGCTACCAAACAAATGTTTGGAAACTGAGAAAAGTGTTTCTGTGGTACTTAAGTTGCACACAAGAAAATACTGAGTTGATAATTTACTTTTCCAATTCACTTTTCAAAGTAAAGTGTTTTGTTTAGACACATCACTAATTATTGAGTTTTTTGCTTAGCCTGAAATGCAGGAAAAAGAAAAAAAAGATCTATGAAGTAAACAATTAATTTGGGATATTCCTTAAAAATTCATCACCATTAGGTCTGTACTCAAACTGTTTTTAAGAGAGTACTTAGTAAATCAAATGAGATTTTGTTTTGCTTTTTTCTTAATTATCTTGTGGGAGCTAAGTTTTCTAAACTCTAGAGCATTTTTCCACGTCTCTTTAGAGAAAAAAGTGAGAGAACCACAACCTCAAATGCTTCTCTTTGCTTTTGAAAGATCATCTGTGTTTTAGAAGTTTTCCTTCGTTCCTTCCTTCCTTCCTTCCTTCCTTCCTTCCTTCCTTCCTTCCTTCCTTCCTTCCTTCCTTCCTTCCTTCCTTCCTTCCTTCCTTCCTTCCTTCCTTCCTTCCTTCCTTCCTTCCTTCCTTCCTTCCTTCCTTCCTTCCTTCCTTCCTTCCTCCCCTGCCCTCCCCTCACCTCCCCTCCCCTCCTTTTTTCTGTTTTTTTTTTTATCTTTTTTTTTTTTTCCAGAAAAATTTAAGAGCAAGGTTACATGCTGACAGTGGGCAGTGTATTTTTAAAAACCATCCTTATAACTTCTTGTCTGAAAATGGTCATCTGAAATCCTATTAAGCACTGAGTCCATGAAAGCTCTTGTGCATGTGCTTAAGCACTGAAGTACCTCAATTTACCACCAGGGAGGTTTATCTAATAGCTATAGCAAGCATCAACTTGACACCTTATTTCTGGCAAAACAAGAGATGCAGAGGATGTCACTGATGGAGACTGTGGTTTCTGTTTCTGTATGCAGGAGAGGAGTCGCTCACAATTTTTGTGGACAAAAGGAAGCTGAGCAAGAGGTCAGATGGAAGTGATCCCAGCACCAACAGCTCTGTGGTGACTCTGGAGACCTTGCACCAGCTCGCAGCCTCCTACTTCATTGACAGGGACAGCACACTGCGCAGACTCCATCACATCCAGATAGCTTCCACTGCCATAAAGGTATGGGGATTCTGCTGAGACAAACACATGGACGTGTTTCTAGATTCACTAGCTGCTCTTCGGAAGAGACGTATTTCAAACAGTAAGCAAAGACTGATTAGGAAAATAACCATGTTTCTCTGAATCGCTTTGTTTTGTTTTATTTTGTTGGTTTTTTTTTTTTAACGTGAATCAAAGCATTAAATTTGTAAAAGAAAGGATAGTTTAGAAAAGGGTGCAACACACTGAAAATATTACTTTTGTTGAATGATACATAATTTGAATGGCCCTTATAGTATTATGTCACTGAGAAAATCTTCACGTATGTTTTCAAAAAAATGTGTTTATAGACAAACCTGTATCTGTCTAGAGACACATACTGTTTACATACAGTTTTTGTTTTCTTTCAAAAATTGTTTTAAAGTGTAGCTTAGTGCACTCTTCTGATTTAATTACTTTTTAATCTTTCCAAAAAAAAACAAAAAAAAAGAGCTCTTGATTCTACAGTCCTATTTTCTATCCTGCTGACTACAATAGGTCATCCTTAGCACTGGGAGATGCTTGGCTAAGATCAGAATCTCTGCAGATATTATATAAAGCAACAACTGTTCTCTTGCTCAAATCTTTGCCATAATGTTGCTTATTGGATATAACCTCTCTCAGTACATTTCCAGAATTTAAGATAAAATCAAAATGTAATTTACAGTTGAATACACATTAATTCTGATATATTTTTTTAATATTTAAAATCCATTGCACTTATTTAATCTTCCCACCCTTAACTAAAGTCCTCATTTATGACCATCCGATGGCAATATGCACTTGCTACCCACAGTAGCTATTGCTCAAGTAAATATAAATCTACCTCCTCAGCAGTGTTAGATCCTTTACAAATACGGATACACGAAGAATTTGTGGCACGGCAGCAAATGCTTTGTTTGTCTGCCAGTATGTGAAGGATGTTCCTCCTGCCCCATTGATCTTGTTAGCAAATCCCAGCTCAGTACTGGTCAGCTGTAGAGCAGTGTTAGGGTCTTCAGGCAATGCAGATGAAAATAGAGATGAACAAACACAAAGTCCAGTCAATCTCATCTAAGGACTGCCTCGGTCGTGCAATCTTGCTGCAGATTGTGATGCTACCTATTCCTCTGTTCTGACTTGTATCCCCAGTCTCACTGTTTGTTATGCAGATCTGCAAAAATCTTTAAAAACCAGTCTGCTTCCTTCAAAGCACGGAGAATTTTTTCCTTCTATATTAAGATAATTCATGGGAAGAAAGAAGTGGTAACTAAAGTGCTAGAATACCAAAATACAAAGGTGAGGCTGTCTCTGAAGGAGATTTCTCCTATTTGCTGTATTTTTAAAGCAGATTTCTACCACACTACAAAATTCAACTGTGCTTGCTAACAATTTAGTTAATGAATCTTCTACATGCCCAAAGTTTTTTTACAAACACAACAGTGTTCTCTCCACACTCTCACTGTTCATGAAATGGATACAAATGCAAGCTGTAGTCCATGGGCAAATCTGATTTGGGTAATTGAGTGCAGCAGGTCTCTAGAAAATGGTTTTCACATCAGATGCAGCAGTGCTGATACATGAAACCTTCATTTTGTATATTTGCATTACAGATTTCTATTGTCAGAACACTTAACTGAACAAAAAAACCTGTTTCTATCAAAGGCTAGGAACACAAAAGCAGCCAGGGAAGGCATTTTTTTTGTTTTCTTCCCACATAGATTTTTGAAACAATGCAGTTTTTACATCAGAAAACCATCCAATAACATTTCAGTCCCGTGCTGTAAATAGAATTTTCCCAGATTATTTCTTAAAATGTGTACTGGTAACTGATAACAACGGGCTTTCCACAGATCTGCCTGAAATCACGTTTAGCAGCAGTGATACCCTGAGGACCTGAGCACAGAGGTGACCATCGGCCCTCTCTGTGCCTCCTGATATACTCAGGGAAGAGAGGGATGACACCTTTTACACAGTTTCCATGCCTGCCTTGCTCACCACAGCCCCGCTCAATATCTTCTTTTGCGTGAGAGGTCGAATTAGGGATTTGCAAAAGCAATCCAATAAATGTTTCCTCAGTTTATCTTACCCCCTTTGGTGTATACATTTCAATATGAAGGTACTGGAACAAGTGGGGATGTTTTCTGCTCATTTTATAAAGCCCTGAAATTCTGAATGGTAAGTTTTCCAAGCAATACACAATCATTTTTTTTTATTGTTGTCCAGTTAATAACAATAACAAGGAGACATGTTCTGAATCTACTTAGTATTTGATCTTATCATTTATGATTCACAAACAGATATCAATTTTATGTCTTAAGCATCATCTGCATGTACATGAAGTTGCAATTAATTGAAAAGAAAAAGACTAAAAGGATAGGGGTTTGAATTGTTTGTTTTCCCTTCCTTTTTTTGTCAGTAAATTTTAGTTACATTCTGGATGGCTTTTAAATACGCAGTATTTAACACTGCTGTACTACTGAAGTTGTTTTCAGGAACAGAGAACTGAGAATGTAGATATAGCTTCTGTTACTCATATACTCACTATGAGAAACTCAACTATCTTTTGGGGAATGCACATTTTAATTAAAAAAAAAAAAAGAAGAAACATTCTGAATGGACGAGACTTAAAACACAAATCAAAATATACGGTTTGGAAGAGAATCATAGAATCATAGAATGGTTTGTGTTGGAAGGGGCCTTAAAGATCATTCAGTTCCAGCCCCCTACCATGGGTTGTTTGCCACCAACCAGATCAAGTTGCTCAGGGCCTTGAATGCCTCCAGGGATGAAGCATATTCAAGTTATCTGGGCAGCCTGTTCCAGTGTCTCACCACTCTCTGACTAAATAATTTCTTCCTAACATCTAACCTAAATCTTCACTCTTCTATGTCTGGGGGGCCCATACCTGGGCATGGAACTGCAGATGGAACTTCATGAGGGCAGAATGGAGAGGAACAATCTCCTCCCTGTCCCTGCTACCACCCTTCTGTTGATGCAGCCTGGGATAACATTGGCAGTCCAGGCTGCAAGCACACACTGCTAGCTCATGTCCACCTTTTTGTCCACCAGGAGCTCCAAGTCCTTCTGCGCAGGGCTGCTGCCCACGAGTTTTTCTCCCAGTCTGTACACGTATTTGAGATTGCCCCAATCCAAGAGCAGCACCTTGCACTTCACATTATTGAACATCATGAGGTTCACGTGGGCCCACTTTTCAAAAGCGATGTTTTGGTTTTGGTTGCATTGTGAATTAGTAATTTATCAGTAAGATTTAATGGGTGTGAAGCAGTGAGAAAACAATTAAATATGCAGGTATAGAGAGAGACTTTCAGTTGCTTATAAAACACCACCACAGATTAATTTGACTAGGACAGGATGAAGATGAGCATTTAGCAAATCTGTAGCAGTGCTCAGTCAAGTATTAGGATAACAACGAGTAACTCCTTCATTTGCAAACTCTGTCAATTTTCATGTTTGGACACTTAGTTGCTATTTTTTCTAGCTTCTTTCTTTCATTTTTCTTGAACAAGTTAAGGACAAAGTTCTTTGCAGATGGGATATGGACAATGTTCCATTAAGTCTCTTAATTTACAGAGCAAAATCAACAATGGATCAGATATTAGATGAGGATGCTCAAGCTCAGTCTTCTGTGAAAACAAAACAAAACAAAACACCACTGCTCATATATGTCTGTTTTCTTAAATATTGAGAACAAAAATGGCAGACACTCTTTGGAAAGAACATACAATTAATGTTTTTGTCCCTTATGTACTTAAGAAAATTAATAATAAATTATTGTATCCTTATATCAAATTAATTGCGTTGTATGCTACCCAAATTTCTTTTCTTCCAGGTTTTGATACATTAATGTGTGGAATTGATCAGAAAAATAAGATTTTGATGTTTTATATTTAAGGTTTTCTATTAAAAAGTTGATCTACATTGCACAAAAGTATTAGGGAGAGGGAAGTGAGAATTTATGTTTAATTCCTATTTATTTTATTCATATCAAAAGGTGTTAGGAGCACAGAAGATGTACTTAATGAATCAAGTTTGTTAATCAAATTTTTTTGTAATCAAGTTTCATAGTTGTGGCATAATTATCCTCAAAAATAACATGAGTACAACTAATTAAAAATTCACAATTTTCGATTGTTTTCATTGTTTATTGCACATAAAATGAGGAAAAATCACAAAATCACAGTATTTTCCAACTGGAAATCAAATATTCATGGGAGCTACCCAGATCCTATACCAATATTTACCTTATTTAAAAGTCCCTGATACGTACATTCTTCCAATATTATTTTAATGCATTCATTTTACTGATAGTAGTTAGGCTCATATGCTAAATCAGCAGTTTGCAGCCTCGAGGGCATCACTGGAAACTCTCCAAGAGCCTCGAGGCTGCATGTAATTTGCATACACATTTACTTGAATGCATATCCTGTTGTATTTGAAATATTACAGATCCAACATTACTTCTCTTGTATGCTCATTTTAGATGCTTTTTCCTATGAACATTTCTCTTCAGATGCACTGACAGCTGTTAAGTCTCCCTATTAACATGCATATTAGGATGACGGAGTGTGCGCTCCTTGTATTGGATAAAATCCTCTAAACTTATGGAAGCATAATACAAATAAAGCCAGCAAATGTTTTTCTTTCTTTTTGTGTTGTCTTTAACAAGCAATATTCTCAGCTCCTGCTCAGTGTTGTTCTTGCCTGTGTACAGCCATACTAATTTGAATCTATTGAAGATCTAATCATAATCAGAGGTCCAGGGGAAGGTCAAACGACCTACAACCCAGAACTATCCAATGACTGTAATCAATATGACCGATCTTTTCCCTTCACCTGATTGATGGATGATGTAAACAAGACTTGAAGTTCACAACTTTGCTTAGCACATTCTGTGATTCTAACAATGTGTTTCGTTGCTGCCCAGTGGCAGAATGACCCAGTGGCAGAATGTACTACTCTGAGATCAAGCACTCATCCTC